AAATTCCAGTGGGGCTGGGTGGTAATAAACAAGAAAATAAATAACAAGATACTCTCAAATAGTGACCAGTGCTATTTAGATAATAAAACCGGATCATGAGATAGAAGGTAACCTGAGGACAGGCTTACTTACACAGGGTGGGCTCTCACAGAGGAGATGTTGGGAGTTGGAGCCTGAATGAGGAAGAGCAGCCTGCAGAGTCCAGAGTCCATGGGACAAGATCTGGGCAAGAGAACTCCAAGTAGACAGTAAGTGCAAAGGCCCTGATGCATGTAGACATTTAATCTGTTTGGGAAGCCTGGAGATTGAACGTGTGGGTGTGCTGGGAGGAAGTGGTCACTGAGATTAGGGCAGGAGCCAGACCACTGTTGCCTTTTGGACTGTGGTAAGGTATTTGGGCTTTATTTTAATTGTTCTGATTTCCTTTTTTTGTTTTGTTAATCCTCACCTGAGGATCTTTTTCCATTGATTTTTAGAGAGAGTGGGAGGGAGGGGAGAGAAAGAGACAAAAACATCAACATGAGAGACACACTGATTGGTTGCTTCTCACACACTCCCTGACCAGGGCAGGGATTTAAACTGCAACTGAGGTATGTGCCCGACTGGAATCAAACCCGGGACCTTCAGTCCACAGGTCAACACTCTAACCACTGAGCCAAAACTGCTAGGGCCTATTTACATTTTAAAAAATTATACAGCCCTAACTGGTTTGGCTCAGTGCATAGAGTGACAGCCTGCAAACTGAAGGGTCCAAGGTTCGATTCTGGTCAAGAGCATGTACCTTGTTTGCAGGCACATCCCCAGTAGGGGGTGTGCAGGAGGCAGCCAACCAATGTTTCTCTCTCATCAATGTTCCCTCTCCTTTCCTCTCTGTTAAAAATCGATAAAATATATTTTAAAAAATAAAAAATAAAATAACAAAAATAAAAAACACATACAGCCAAGGTATATTAAGGAACATGATTACAGGGAAGTTGCCTAGGTGAGAGAAGCAAACTTTTTGGGAAAGGATCAGATAAATATCTCAGGTTTGGTGGGCCACATACACTCTCTAAGGTACATCCTTCTCTCCTATGTCTGGCACCTCCTCCTCCTTCTTTTTAACCCTTTAAAAATGTAAAAATCCTTCTTAGCTCTTCTGCGACACAAAAACAGGTGGTTGCATGCTGGATTTGGTCTGCCTCTCTGGGCAGTAGTTTGCTGACCCCTAGTTCAGGAAAAAGCAGAACTGATCGCCATAAATTTAGGACACAGAACGTGTAGGATGTGCTGATGAGCTGGCCATGTGTGGGGAAGGGGTAAGAGAAAGAGGAAACAAGGATGGCCTCAGTGAAGAAGTAGAAGGTGGTGTAATTTACTGAGATGAGGAAGAAGCCGATTTGGGATGGGGGGAAGGGGAAATTAAGGGTTAAGTATGAGTTGCCAATTAGTCATCCAAGTGGAGATGTTAAATAGGGAGCCTGATACAGACTCTGGAGTTTAGGGAAGAGGGCAAGGATGGAGATCCACATTTGGGAGTTATTGCCTATGGATGAATTTAAAGTCATGGGACTGGCCTAGCAGGTGTGGCTTAATGGTTGAGCGCTGACCTATGAACCAGGGGGTCATGGTTTGATTCCTGGTCAGGGCACATACTTAGGTTTCAGGTTCAATCCTGAGTGCAGGAAGCAGCCAATCAACGATTCTCTCTCATCATTGATGTTTCTGTCTCTCTTCCTATCCCTTCCTCTCTGAAATCAATAAAAATACTTTTTTTTTTTTTTTTTTTTTTAAGTCATGGGACTGGATGAGATCACCCAGAGTGCCGCGCCAAGGGGGTTCTGGAATTTAAGGACCCATAAAAGAGGTCCTTGGAATCACTCTCTGGGTCAAAAGTATGACATATGGCAAAACTGCCCAAATGCTGCCCATCTTGTTTAAGCTACTTAAATATACGCTGTGAGTGGGACTGTACACACGGATGAGCAGGGACACCAGAATTAGGAATCCTTGACCATTTTTGCCTTGGAGCTGGTGAGCATCAAGCCACAGTGGAGGATTAGGCTGGTTAAAGGAGGTGTTGAAAGTGAGGAAGCGCTTCCAAGGATTCGAAACCACAGAAGCACCCAGCAAGCTTATTACAAATGCAGATTTTTAATAAGAGCTTTGAATTCTGGGGCGAGGTGTGTTTTAAAAATGCTCCCTCTCATACAAACAGAAGGTTGAGAAATCGGTGGATTAGGGATAGATTGGGTGAAGGGTGTGTCTTCATGACGTTTCTTTACTCCCAGAGACTCACAGCTTCAGGAATCTTAGATGGGTCTGGCTGGGGAAGGTTCAGTTTGAGGGGATGGCAGAGGACTCCTAGGCCAGTAAGAAATTTGCTCTACAATTCAGAAGGAGGCCGTTTCTCCACAGTGATGTAAAATGGTACATTTTTCATGCAGATGAAATTTAAAATTTGGGTTCCCTAGGAGTATCTACTTAGCCTTGAAGTTCCACAGCATAGAGGGGAGATTTTTTTTCTATCTTTATATGAAAACAAGAATACATTTTTCAATTCAAATACAAGATATGCGTGTTGTTGATGAAACTGTAACCTCACTTTATATACATTATGGATTTGTGTGAAAACAGCTAAGGAATAATGTAAGGAATTTGCTGTTAGGCCTTCTGCTAGGAGCTAAGGAATCAACCTTGCATTCATTGAACTACTGTTTATTTTGTCTTCTAAATGCCAATCACTATTTTAGATTCAGAAGGTAAAGCAATGAACAAAATAAATAAAAATCCCGCCGAGACCGGTTTGGCTCAATGGATAGAGCGTCGGCTTGGGGACTGAAGGGTCCCGGGTTCGATTCTGGTCAAGGGCATGTACCTTGGTTGCGGACATATCCCCAGTGGGGGGTGTGCAAGAGGCAGCTGATGGATGACTCTCTCTCATCGATGTTTCTAACTATCTCTCTCCCTTCTTCTCTGTACAAAATCAATAAAATATATTTTAAAAAATCATCTAAATAAAAATCCCTGCCCATCATAAAACAGATAATTTAGCTAGGAAACAGATTCATAAACATGATATGTAAAATGTATATTATATTATATTATATTATATTATATTATATTATATTATATTATATTATATTATAGTGAGTGCTAAGGAGAAAAATATAAATGAGGTGAGAGGGTAGGAAAGAGTTAGGGACTGGGATAAGTGAGATTACAAGACAAGAAAGGGATTTGAGACCTGTGATTTAGGAAAGTAACAGTTTCTCCAAGTCTCAATTTCTTCATCTGATAAATAATATATAATAGTGCCTTCCTGAAGAAGGCTCAGGCCCTTAGATTGACTTCGTCACTTTCAAACTTTGAGCCCCTCAATTTCTTTGGCTTCTCTGAACCTGTTTTCTTATCTCTGACATAAACAGACTTGTCCAGTCTATGTCACATGGTTTTCGAAAATATCAAATGAGATCTGTGAAAACAGCTAAAAATATAGATATTATCTAAATGTAAGATAGAAATTTAAAGAAAAAAAAACCACACAGCTAGTTTATGGACTGCAAATCTCTTGCTGATGGTCAGCAGAACCTCAGGACTGATTATAAACAACGAATTACATAAACTGCTTGGTACAGATTCCATACACTGCAGGGAAAAGGCCAACAAAAATTATCAGGACATACCAGTAGACTAGCAATCTTATCTTCGATCAGGAATAAAATAAATTAAATGTTCCTAAGTGGACACCTCATAAAATAGTTGTAGTATGTTATTTATCAAATTTTAAAATGCTTTATTGCTCTTTTATGTTTGTTCTTGTTTTGTTTGTGGGACTTAAGTTCCAGGAAAAGAATTATATGGATTGCAAGCAGTTATAAACAAAGAACAGTCATTTAAATCACCAAGAGCAGATAGTCCATACTCTGGGTATTTCTGTAGAGGCTCCGTAGACATTAACCAAAGTAGATGATTTCAAACATAAGCTGGTGTGTATTCCTTTTCCATCTTTATATTTTCTTCAGTCCCGAATATCTGATAGCATCCCAACAGTGGTTTTTGTTTAATCAAAACACATATTGGTGCTCAGTAAGTATTTGTTAAACAAAAGCATGACTACTGTGTCAGTTTGCTTACTAAAGACTAGCCAATTGAATCCCTAAAATGTTTGTGCATTTAAAACACACATACTTGCCTTCTCTTGGCAATGCTCCTCTGGGAAACCGAATTAGGTCCTTCTCTGAGACTGGATGAAAAGGTGTTTTATTCTATTGAAATGCAAACCCCAAAGTTAGTTTGAACACTACCTAATCTAGTAGGCGCTCAATGTTTGCTAAATCAGATGCACATTCAGAAAGCAAACATACTGCAGCCCAACGATCCCACTCAGGAGGAGCCTGAACTGGCCGCCTGTCCAGTTCGCATCTACCAGGTGACCTCCAGACCTTCTCTGAGCACCGGCCCCCGCTCGCCTCCCAGCCACAGAACCTTTCCGCTCAGCCTCCGGAGTTTTCCCCTCCGAACGTCAAGGTCCCCGCTGTCATTCCGGCGGCTTTGCACTGAGACTGCGCATGCCCCGCCTCCGCCTCGCGCGCCCCGCTGGCAGCCCGACGGGCCCAGCAAAGGGCCTTGTGGCCGTTTCCTATTGGGGCTTGGTTGCTATGGTATCACACCCGCCCTAAACCTTGAGGCACTGCTTCCGCAAGGCGAAGGAGAATTACTTCCGGGTCTGCCCTTACTTGGTATGGCTGACTGACCAGTGGCTGAACTCCACAAAAATAAGTTTCCCGGTAACTTTCTAGAAATTTTTATTTCATCACTCTAACTAGTTGGTGCGGCGTGGTATCGTATCGTTTCCCCACCCCCTTGTATAAGATTTACTACGTGTTTGTTTTTTGTTTTTTTTGTCTACTTGCCAGTCTCCAAAATGGCGCCTGCGCCGCCGGTAGGCCAGAGGTGAGTCACGTGGGCCCTCCGGTTCCGCCGCGGCCGAGGCCCGGGTGTTCACAGACTCCGGCACCATGTCTCGTTTGTCAGGCCTACACGTCCCGCGTGGCTCTTGCCAGTTAGCGTTGCTGCTGTTACCTCTCCTGCTCGGCCCCAGTTCGGTTCTCGCCATCTCCTTCCACCTGCCCATCAACTCCCGTAAGTGCCTCCGCGAGGAGATCCACAAGGACCTGCTGGTGACCGGCGCCTACGAGATCACCGACCAATCTGGGGGCGCGGGCGGCCTGCGCACCCACCTCAAGGTGCGGCCCGGGGCGGGGCGGGACGGGAAAGGACGGAGGACCTCGGGCGTGGGCGCGGAGAGGCCGAGGATGGGGGTGGAGAGGGGGGTGTCGGGCCCGGCCTCCCCGGGGCGCTGAGGGCGGGCGGAGGAGACCGCCCCCTCGCCCTGAGGGTTGGCGTTGGGGGAGGGCTGGGCGCCGGTGCGGGGGAACCCGGAGAAGGGCGCGAGGCCTTGTCGGCGGATGTGGTGGGGCGACCTCCGCTTTGGTCGTTGGCGGGACCCGTGTCTGTTTTGGTCTTAGGTGCCTTGAGCTGGAACTTGATTCTCCAAAGACGTCTTCAGATGGTGCATACTTGTGGGGGTTGACGCAAAGACACGTTGAGACCTGCAAAACCTGCTCGATCGTGGAGATATAGTTAGATGCCACCCTTGATAGGGAAGATAATGGAGGCATTGGAGCTCACTGTGAATAAGGAAACCTGTTATTCATTGAGCATTAGCTGTGTCAGATCTTAGTTCCAACATCGCCATTTAGTTCGTGCATTCCTCTGTGAAGTAGGTACTATTAGTTTCATTATACACATAAGGAAACTGAGGCTCAACGAGGTAGTAGAATAAACTGATGCCAGAGCTGTAATTGAGTCTTAGTTGGGAAGTTAAGTGAAAGTGCTGGAATTTTGTTCTCGCCTTGCTTTTTATTTGTAATTCCTGTAATTGACTAAAATGTAGTCAATTAAAACCGAGACCATCCGTCAAGTGGTCTCAGTCTCTAGTGCTTTTCCTTCCTGGTACCCCAGAATCTGGACTTGGCCAAGTTCTATGTAAATTTCAGCCATACTCGAGTGGTGACAGCTACTGCCAGAATGCTAGTTTGGTCCCATTTTTGTTATTAGAGCGATCTTTGAAACGCTCCTATCTTTTCGTTTAGTCAAGGTTGATTGCGTTGGAGGTAATTTTGTTCACTCACAATAAGCACATGGTTTTATTTTTAACAGAATGGGACTCAGACTGAATAGTAAGAAACATTTTTACTTTGTAATATTATAATAGCACTTAGGTATAAGAAGACCATCGTTTCTGTGTAGGGTTTTCAAACCCAGTAGTGGTATTAGAGAGAGAAACTATTTTCAGGGCTACTGCTCAGTGACCCATCCTTTCATTAGTCTCTTCAGGTACCAAACTAATGTCTAGCCAAGAAAGCCACGAGGGTATGACATTTTGAGGGTCATGCTTCTGGCTCTTCAACAAATGTTGTGCACAGAATCAGAGGATTTGAACAGTGAAAGAGACTTTACTGTGGTTTGCAGTGCTGCCCCATCTGATTTGTAATTATATTTTTTTAATCCTTCAGCAGCTTACTTGTGCTAGTCTGATGAAGTTTCAATTTTCCAACATGCCCTATATATTTGTCACTCCATGCTTTGCATTTTACATATGAGGCACCCTGAACAGTATCCTAAACTCACTCATTTTCATCTTACATTGTAACCACTTACGTTTATACCTTGTCTCCCTTATTAGATTATTAGTATCCTGAGGGCAGGAATTATTTTCATGTTTGTATTTTCTTTTCCAGAATGTCAAGCGTACTGCCTTGTTTCTAGTAAGCACTTAATAAATATAAGAAGCATGGTGTAGCATGGCCTTATGGGGATTATATCTATGTCCAAAGCTGCTGAAGGAGCGTCAGCAGTAGGAGTCTGTAAATCTATATGCTAGCACTTTGCCATTGTTCAGTTTATCTCCCCATGCCTGATCTGTTCTCTTGCTTCTCATCAGCAGAATCACATCACTCCTGGGGTCCTAAACCTAGCTGTCAAGTAAGTAGCATAAATGAATGAACTAAGCCAGGTATAAGAAAAAGGACAGCAGTGATGATAAATGGGGAGTAATTGGGAGTATTGGAAACTTAATTTTTTTAAAAATATATATTTCATTCATTTTTTTACAGAGAGGAAGGGAGAGGGATAGAGAATTAGAAACATCGATGAGAGAAAAACATCGATCAGCTGCCTCCTGCACACCCTCTACTGGGGATGTGCCCTCAACCAAGGTACATGCCCTTGACTGGAATTGAACCTAGAACCCTTCAATCCGCAGGCCGACGCTCTATCCACTGAGCCAAACCAGTTTCGGCTGGAAATTTAATTTGGAGTGGTCAATGATCATTTCTTGATATGGGCCTTGTTGCCATATCTGATTTTTCAAATGAAGTCAGAAATTCAGATTTTTATATGAACGCTTCTGATTTTTAAATGTCACCAATTAATTCACCTTGGTTTTGGCATTATTTGTTTTCAGTTTTATGGAAAAGGGCACAGTCAGTTGGCCCTATACCCAATAACTAGATTCACCAATCAGTAGGATCTTGCCTCACTTATTTCATTGTAATTGCTTCCCCTTTATTTTATGCTGCATTATTTTAAAATAAATCCCAGATATCATGGATTTCAGTCCTACATTCTGCTGCATGAATTTCTTAAAACTATGAACAAAGTCACAATATTATGCAGCTATAATCACACCTCACACGATTTTTAAAAATACATTTTTATTTATTTCAGAGAGGAAGGGAGAGGGAGAGAGATAGAAACCATCAATGATGAGAGAGAATCATTGAACAGCTGCCTCTTGTATGCTTCCTACTGGGGATTTAGCTGGAAACACAGGCATGTGTCCTGACTGGGGATGGAACTGTATGACCTGCTGGTTCATAGGTTGATGCTCAGCCACTTAACTACACTAGCTGGGCCGATGGGACATTTTGGATGGTGTGGGAGGACAGGGGATGCCATTATTCTGCCTGAGCCTCCATTATAAAGTTTCCCATTAATTTTTCTCTTATAAGTCCATTGATGACTTATATGAATTTATTGTTTCATTAAGGTTATGAAATGATTTTCTAATTCTGTTATTCCTTCCATATTTATTGGCTGGAATTAATCTTACAGAATTTAAGACCACTTGGTTACCCTAAAATTTATAATTCATATAGGAAAGGCAGGCAAATGCAGGCTTCATTTCTTTTTTCTTTTTTTTAAATCCTCACCCAAGGATATTTCTGTTTTAGAGAGAATGGAAGGGAGGTGGGGAGAAAAAGAGAAAGAGAAAAACATTGATGTGAGAGAGACACATCAATTGGTTGCCTCCCACTTGCTCCCCCTACCCCCACCAGGCCTAGGGATCTAACCTACAACTGAGGAAATGAACCCAAGATCTTTCAGTCCACTGGCTGGATGCTCTAACCACAGGGCCGAATTCAGTTTTTTTAAACGACATATTTCAGAGCAAAGCATTTTGCCCTTGTCATTTCCATTGTAGTCCAGAGGGTTAACTATTATTCTGAAATTATTTTTTGTTGTTTGTTTCAGTTTTGTTGTTGGTTTAGTCAGTTGCATTCGTTCCTTATGCTCACATGTCTCTGGCTCTGTTATCCTTTTGACACCATCCCATTAGGTTTTGATAGCTTCTCCGTTTTGTAGGACAGTAAGGTGTCCTAGCCACATCTTTTGTATGTCCAACCTCTGATCTGGAAACAACTATTCCTCCAAGGAGTTCTGGTTCCTTTCTGTGAGGAGTGGTATTTTAGACACCACAAGCTGGGTATTATCTTAAAATTTTTAATATACTATGTAGGCCACGGAATGCATTTGTGGGTTTGATCCAGCTCTTTATCACAGTTTGCAACCTTTTTCATAGTTTCTGTTCACTCAGTTGTGCTTTCTCTTAAATTTTGACCACTTGTGGGCCAGACTCTGCCTCAATGATTCAATTTCTGAAATGCAGCTCCTGAGTGTAAAAATTTGATTGGTTCTGCTCCTTTTAAGCCAGGCCACATTCTGGATCTTCTCTTTGGTCATATGTCTGTCTCTGGATCAAGCAGCAGTAGTTTGGGTTGAAGTTAGGAGAACAAGAGACTTTGTGTAGTGCAAAATCTGGTCAACTGGGGTTGGCATTTTGCTATTGCCCTGAATGAAGCAGTCTCTCTAAGAAGAATGTAGTGCCTTCATTGAGCTAATTCACTTTCTTCCTGTCAAAGAGCACCTTAATGTCCAATAAATACATCAGTATCATCATATGTCACTCTATGTTGTACTGTGTATCTACCCATCTCCTCAGATAGACTAAAAGCTCCCTGAGCAGAGACTATCTCATTCATCATTGAAATGCTTGTGTCTAATACAGTGCCTGGCATATAGTAGGGCTTCAGTATAAGGGATAAATGAACATAAATGAATAGCCAATGGCCTAGCCTCACCTCTGATCTTTCCTTCTCCCTTCCTCTTCACTTCCTCTTCACTTCCTCTTCCCACTCCCAGCTCTCACTGTACTGAACACCTTGAAGTTCTTTGAATACTATCTTCTCTTAACTTGGACCAGTCTTTGCTTGTACTGCCCTCCTGTTTGCTCCCATTACGTCCTGTTCAACCAGGCACTTTTCATGTAATGTGGTGCTTAACTTTGTGAACTCCTTAGTGTCTTATTCACCTTTGAGTCCTCAGTTTAATGTACTATATAAGTATTATTGTACAACTAAGTTAAATATCTTAATATTTCTGAGAAGCAGTGGAAAAAGACTGGACCTGAAATCAGACAGTTTTGGGTTTAAATCCCAGCAGTTCCACCACTTATAGAGTGCATGGTCTTGGGGGAATGACTTAACTCTTCCTTGGGCCCTTATCTATAAAATGGGGATGATAGATCTCTAAGAATTGTTAGAAGGACTTATTGGAATGTATTCTTTATTGCACAGGGCTTGTTTTGGTAGGCCATAGATATTAGTACTCTTTTTTTCTCTCTTGAATGATAATTGACTTGCTAATCTGACTTCCCGGTCATATATCATTGTAGCGACCAGTTAAAGAATAGTTTAATGAGCCGAGACCGGTTTGGCTCAATGGATAGAGCATCAGTTTGGGGACTGAAAGGTCCCGGATTGGATTCCGGTCAAGGGCATGTATCTTGGTTGTGGGCATATCCCCAGTGGGGGGGGTGCAAGAAGCAGCTGATCGGTGACTC